TCATGGAAAATTACGAGGAAGAAAGCGTTAATATCATGTTAAAAGTTACACGGCAAGGTAATAAAAGGCAGAATGGCACATATACATGTCAAAACGTCGACATTTTTAACGATGTGAAAGCGCTATGTGAGTTCCTGTTCAAGCAGTTTAAAGAGGAACTTAGCAGATTTCAGCAGATTTCAGCATGATTAGCAGATTTCGGTTATTTCTATAATACAAAACAATGTGTATTCCACATTACCGCTATACAGTATAATAACAGCCTTAAGTTCATCATCGCACTATTCCCACGAGATGATTATATTTATACTCAACAATGCTTTTCCAATAATAACTTCATTTGTTGCATAATTATGCATAAAATGCCATCAATCCCTTCATGCCTCTTGCACGTGGAATATATATTGGGCTATTGCCTGTCACAAACTTAATTGAATCAGCTGTATACATATCGTCAGCTGAGGGTTAACAAGGTCTATCTGCTCTATGACTAGTTTTGAGAAATAGGCAAATGAAAGTTGGCATGCTCATAAAAGGAATAGAACACAATTTAATACCAAAATGTTTTGATCTTCTACATACTATACACTAGGTTGTTTAATTACAGTTATTTGTGCCTGGCCACCCAGCATGAATTATGGGAAATAGCGGTACTACTTTTGGAGATAGACCTTTGTGACTCTGAATTTTTTGAAAAATTAGAGTTACAAAGGTCTATCTAAAATTAGTTAATTCTGAATGTTTAAAATTTTACCTGCAAAATTATTTTAACAAGTCTGCACTCAATTCAACGTTGTCAACATTGTAAACATCAGTTTAAATTTTGATAATCTACTTTTCTATTGATTTTTCTGGGTAATTTCGGTACAAATCTTACTACATTTAAAACTATGAGGATTGTAAGTATATTAATATATAAAAAGGTTAATTACTTTCTTTTTAGCTATAATTTATACATAAGTATATATATTTATAAAAATCACAAGTTAAAAGGTTCATAATGTACTGTAGTTGTGCTTGCAATATCCTCACTTCTAATATCGCTGGCACAAAGTTTAAATAACATTACTGTCACGGCTTTCTTGTATCCTAAAGAAGTGTTAGTTACACAAGAAGTGACATAAACTCTCTGTCAGAGGCAGGCATAAATTTCAGCATTGATCTTATGTCGCTTTCTTAGCCTGGCTAAGACCATCAACAGCTCAGCAATGGTGGGGTCGGTTACTTGATAGAAAACATTGTTTTTGACTTTGCTTCTTGTCGACTTGTGCTCGAGCACATTCGTTGTAACCAATTCTTCTGAAAACTTGGTCTTGTAGCCAAGGATCTTGGGTTCCATTTGCTTGTAGTGGAGACTCTTGACTTTGGTGAATGGCACCCTGTCATACTTTCCTTGCCGAGCAATAGAACCAAAATCCTTGAAATCTTGTGCCTTCATCTGGATAATTTTCATTGGCTTGCTTCTGTGGACTTTCTTTAGCATCCGCATCAATCCAACAGGGCTGTATATTTCACTATGGCGACACACAGCCTCGATCTGGCTGTGAAGATTGTCTACTTCTTGAACAGAAGAATGGCCAGGCTCACAATACTTGTGCTCTATCGACACAATGTTAGGATGATTTTTGAGGAACACTTTCATAGCAGTAGAAAAAAAACTGTTTCGATTTTGAGGAACGCAAGAATCACTCCATAAAGTGATGTTCTTTACTCTTGGATCCTCTGAATTTTCTTCAACAACAGCTTCTAGGATCTTTAGAACTGAACTGGCTATGTCGTTCCCAGCTCGACCACTTTGCCCTTCGTGCCACAGTGCTCCATATCCTCTCTTATCTGCTGAACAGTGGGCGGTCATGAAGTATACATTAAGCTTTCTCTTGTAGAAAAAGTTCGATACTTCAGCTGTTGGCAAGGCAAACACATTTTGCAAATCAAAACACACTGTAAATTTGTTATTATCCTTTCGATCATTGTCTCGTTCAGTCTTAGTTTCCTCCTTCCCTCTTAGGTGAGCTTCAAAATTTTGTTGGTCTTCCTCAGCTGGATTATTCTGAATTTTCATTGCCTCACATGTATCACATCTATCTTTTTTGGGTACATGGAAGGCAATGTTAAATTCGTCATTGAATATTTGTCGGTACAGATGGATTTTACCAGGTGCGACTCCATTACTGGAGCACTGTTTCACATACTCTTCATAAAGAATTGTGACATTAAGACCTTCAGGCAAATATTCTTTTTTTGTGTTCTCCCTATTGTAGTGGGATTCCAAACGAGGCAAAGAATTTATATGTTTGCGGATTCTGTCCTTGATTTCTGGTGAAACTACATTGTTTGCACTCTTTCCCCATTGCAAATTTGCAGGTGTCCCACACATTTTCTGTTTGTTTGCATGATAATATTGTATGCGTTTGTGGTTAATATCCAATGTCGTTAAGTAAAATACTTTACAGACTCAAACATTTTGGGCATTAACAGGAAGGCTATAACTTAGACTGTTTTTCTTTTCGGCATGGTGTTCCAGCTTTCGAACTTTTTGTTGATTCTTGCTCGGTTGTTTTTCCATAAAAGTGCAATTTCTCGTTGTCACTCATTTTCCAAAACTCATTGAAGATAGCAGACCTATCTTCCTCAGTAACATTAGAACGACATTTAAAATTACATTTACTGCAATCTTTCTTTGTTTTCACAGACCTTGCAGCTTGCTCATTCCCACGACTGTTTATATACTTTTCTCCAGATTGTCTTTTATTCTTTCTAATGTTCCTTTTCCAACTAGCCGGGTTACGCTGGCGCTTTCGAGTCAGAGGAACTCCAGTGCGTTGATGAACGTGGACAGTTCTCTCTACCTGTTGCAATTGACCAGGTACATTTTGCAAGTCTGTCAGGACAGAATTTTCACCAGTGCTAACTTGTTGATTGGGTTCATCATGATCTACAAAAAGTAAATACTACATCACATTTTGGAAGAGGAAAATATATTTACCTCATTTACATACTTTAGAAGTAAATTTATCTGGTTGAGGCAGTGTCCCAACAGTATAGTGTACGCATTGACAAAGAATTTTTGTAATGCATTAACACATACATATTGGTAAATCCCACTCACATACCTGTGGTCTAGGAGAATGAGGAACTGAGTTGACTGAGAAATTAACCTTTCTTACAATGACAAATATCTGCAATTTTTGAATTGCAATCGTTTTTCATAAACTAGTGTAAACAATTATAAAAATGTGAAAAGCATTTTTTTAAATAAACTAACCATTTACAGAGGAAACTTATCTTTGTAATCCTCCAAAAAGGATAAAAAAAGACAATGTTATGTGTCTTACAAAAAACGACTGCCACCCAAAACGGCAGATATTCATCACTGTAAGAAAGGCTAATTGTCCTCACCCACAGGGAAAGGTAATTGTCCTCACCCACAGGGAAAGGTATATTAGACACTGTTGCGGCACATATCTGAACCTGCAGAACGGATTAGTATATATTTACCATCCCCACCCCCCCCCCCGCCCCACCCACACGGGCAACCAAAGTAACAGAATGATGACATAGCCCTCGACGGGGGTCACATTTACAGTAAAAATTGATCTGAATGAGGGCCGTAGGTTCAATTCCTACCAGAGGACCCTGTGCTGCATTTTTCGCAGTCATTCCTGGTCAGGTCTTAAAGTGTATATATATTCACTTGGATTAAAAAACCCAAAAACAGCATTCTAATATCAATTCCACCAAGTAGTCCCTTGTTGCATGGGCAATGGGAAGCATTATGAAAATATTTATAGTTCATGCACATTAAATAGCTTACTATTAAACCTTACCATCAGTTGAACTCGATTCATCATCAAATAATTCTCCTCTTGGATCATAATTCTCATCAACACCAGAACTATTTTCATCAAAATCGCTGGTATCCTCTGCATAATCTGCAACAATATCCGACCTAAAATTCATATAAAACTCATCATTATACTGGGACCAATTCCTTAGTATCTTTCAGGTAACATATCTAAGTTCAAATTCCTATTCTCTTCTTAACTGATGTGAGAAATACAAGTCCAATTTGAAATACAAAAATATGAAAATGCTAAAGTTAGTGTAGATACTAATTTTCATTTTTTCGGCCATGTAATATATCAATTTTCAGTCCAATTTTAGCGTATATGACCTCTCGTAATCAATGTCTTCTCAATTAAAGTGAAAAATACGGCTTACCTTTCCAATAAATCGCTGATTTCATTCTCCTTTAAAGTTTTTAATCGCCCATGCTTTCTGGCAGCCATCTTGGAAATGTGATAGACCTTTGTGACTTTGAAATTATGCTAAATTATGCAGATGGACCTTTGTAGCTTTGCCACTGACATTAAAATATTCACAATATCCACATAAATTAGCAATGGACATAGACCTAGTTAACTTTAAAGCTGTTTGAGACATAAACCTCAATTTTGACAAATTTCTCAGATAGACCATGTTAACCCTCAGCTGACGATATATACATATATAGATATATACATATATACATATATACATATATACATATATACATATATACATATATACATATATACATATATACATATATACATATATACATATATACATATATACATATATACATATATACATATACAGCTGATTCAATTAAGTTTGTGACAGGCAATAGGCAAATGTAAATTGTAAGCGCGAACAGTGTCATGGGTCCAGTGCATTTGACTAACTAATGCATCGACATATTTTGAATGGTGTCGTTAATGGACGCTAATTATTTTATTATGTTATCATCCGACCAAACAATGACACTATGCGAGCAACAGAGTACAAAAGACACATATGAAAAATGCGGTGATTTTGCAATTCCCAAACGAACATGTGCATTTATCACAATAGTTTGTGGTTGCACTTTGCAGGCGAGCAAACAGTTAGATTGATAAATTGTGCATTTGGTGGATATTCGGTTCCAAAGTCATGGAAAATTACGAGGAAGAAAGCGTTAATATCATGTTAAAAGTTACACGGCAAGGTAATAAAAGGCAGAATGGCACATATACATGTCAAAACGTCGACATTTTTAACGATGTGAAAGCGCTATGTGAGTTCCTGTTCAAGCAGTTTAAAGAGGAACTTAGCAGATTTCAGCAGATTTCAGCATGATTAGCAGATTTCGGTTATTTCTATAATACAAAACAATGTGTATTCCACATTACCGCTATACAGTATAATAACAGCCTTAAGTTCATCATCGCACTATTCCCACGAGATGATTATATTTATACTCAACAATGCTTTTCCAATAATAACTTCATTTGTTGCATAATTATGCATAAAATGCCATCAATCCCTTCATGCCTCTTGCACGTGGAATATATATTGGGCTATTGCCTGTCACAAACTTAATTGAATCAGCTGTATACATATATACATATATACATATATACATATATACATATATACATATATACATATATACATATATACATATATACATATATACATATATACATATATACATATATACATATATACATATATACATATATACATTGTAAAAAATGATAGGTTAAAACTACCTATTTCTAAAGGTTGCAACCTATATTTATAGGTTGTTTTGACCTTTCAAATAGGTTAAAACCAATAAAAAATAGGTTATGATAACCTATTATAAAATGTCAACCTAATTTAATCGGTCATGTCAACCTGTTTCACTGGATTTAACTTGAAAACAATGTTACGATAATGTATTGTGACGTTAAGCTATATGCGCTGGATGCAATCTGTGCTGCAATGGCTTATTTTCGGTTTTTGAAATGCTGTGCCGTAATGATACGCGCTATGTCAGGAAATCAGGCTTGGTTACCAAGTAGTTTACAATTACTGCGCAATATACTAGAGATTCACACGTAAGATGGAGCATGTGGCATGTATCCAACATGTTGGATGTATCCAACTTTTTCGCGTTCACTGACTTATCACAAGTCGATCACAAGTCGATCACAAGTCTTGGTTTGCCCACATGCTGCATATAATCAGGCAAAAATGGTTTACTTTAATTTATACATGGTTTTGATTATTAATTGGCAATCAATTTAGAAAAAGAAAGAAATGAATTGAAGAGAAAACGAAAGAAAGAAAAAGAAGAGAACTAAAAATGAAGCGATAGAAAAATGCAGGGATGATGACTATCAATCAGATGACACCATCCCTAATTCCCCAGAAGACAGTAGCCCAAGAATCAGCCATCTGGAGAGGACATATGCCATTGCAGGGATTCCTTGGGAGAATCTTCCCGAATTTTTAAAAAAAGAAAATATTTAATAAAAGCCATTTAATTTTACAAATATGCATAATTTACATTACAGATGTATGAGAGTAATTTTTAAGTTTTGGCTTATCCACTGTTTAAACTTAACACCTTTCAAACAACCGGCCCCTGTGTGTTATTTACAAACAAGTGTTACTTGTTACTAAGCAGTTACACTTAGTCTAATACTTTACAATTGTACATCTTGGTGCAATGTAAATTAATCCTCTGGTACTCCTTGATAAAGTAACTGTGTGTGCAGGCAAATAGTGTACAAATTGAGTTTGCTGGAGTATCACAGTCTGGTCATTTGTTGGTCTATACACCTCAAATGCATGATAGTGGGAGGAAAACTGAACTGTCACAAACTTTTTCAAGACAAAGTATACTTTACTGGTCTTCCTCACCACAATTGCATTGATAGCTGCAAACTCAGGCATTTCATTCAGTGATCCAATATGCACGACTGCACCAATTCGGTATTCAGTGGTACCATGAATTAAGTACCAACCAACATGCATATTATCAATTGTGGGTCCAATAATTTGTTGCAATGTCATACAAAGTACAACAAAGGTACATACATAGATAATATTATGCAGAAATTAAATTGCAATTGCCACAATAATTATCAAACTTACCAACAGTAGCCTCTTTAGTACGATAGATATTATTTTCCACATTACCACTGGCACTGTTGTTTAAATAGCAGCTGTGTGTCTGATGTCTATCCGCTAGTGTATAAGCAACATTTGTGTAATTCCCCATGTATGTAGCCAATGTTTTAAAATAGCTGTGTTTTGCCTCATAGCGCATACACCAGGTTCGAGTCATTGGGCCAAACCTAAATTATCATATGAAGACATTTATTATGATCATATTCTGGTTTACGCAACAAGATTACCCATGTTCAAAAATATATGCTATCTTAATCATTGCACAAACCTGTATATATGTGAAGGATAATGCACTAGATATGCATCTTGGGGATGATGGATTTGCCTGGATACAGCCTCACAAAACCCAAAAGATACTCCTCAATCAGACCTTCCAAAATACCAAGCGAATCCAGAGTGCTAGAAGGCGCAAACACAATATCCACAATTTCTAATAGTGTGTGAAAATGTTGCCAGTGTTCATCATCTGTTGGCACTAAATTTCCAACAATCAATGGGAGAAATTTGCCCAAGCACCACATCTGAGCAGCTGTTGATAAATCATACAAATAAATTTTTAGACACCTGTTTGTGCAGGAAATAATGTGTTTGTTTGTGAATTTTACTGACAACTGTAAAGTTTATCATTTATTCTCCAACCTTTTTGTCGAACATTGTTGGCGTCTCCTTTCAAAGCTTGTTGTGTAATTGGAGAAGGCTTGTTCCTGTCATTGTAGTACCCAAAGTCGAAGGTTTTCAACTTTTGGTTAAGTTCTTGCAATGTAAAATACTTCTGCTCATAAATTAATACATTGAGCATTTCCTTGCATTTATATTGGAGAACACCCTCAAGGATGTCATGCATGGCATCTGCTGGTAAACCATCCACTACATGAAAATATCTGGAATTGCATAGAATTGACCTTCGATTCACACCATATAGCTTGCTCATTTCTGGGTCTTCTTCAACACATGTGCATTGATGATCATGTCCAGCTCTTGTTCTCAGTGTAAAATCTCTCTCAAGAAACTAAAAAAATGGAAATAATTAAAAGCTAGTGTTACATCAGTTAAGGAACTATGCTAAGGCCGAGAGAAGTTAGGTGTCAGTTTACCGTAAACCGCCCGCATGGCTTCCGAGGTGCCGCTTAAAATTTTCATTATTTTATTTTTTTTTCATTATTTGGGAAAAGTTTGAACATATTGGAATTGTTAAGACATTTCCGATGTATTAATCATTGGTATACATTTATCTACATGCTTTCTGGCCATATGATTTATGTGGATGATTTATTAAAGATGGATGTTTTATATTGGTTAATTCACAACCAATCAATAGCTTCGTTGCATATGTATACTCAACGAGACAGCTAGCTACAACACGTGTTTGTGAATTTCCCTTGATGGCGTCCGTGCGCATGAAATGTAAATATGTTCAACTCAAGGTTTATGTTCACGTCTATTAAATAGGTAAGTTTCAATAGCTTTTACTGATCCCTTTAGTGTTTGTGTTTTATTATATATCAATATTATTATTATAAACATGTATTTTTGGCTCGATTGTCTATTTTAATACAATGGTATATTAAATTTTGACTATCAAAAATATTTGTACAACATTGAATCTCATCAATGATGATGGTGAGATACATGACCATGTTTGGTTTTTTTAAGATGTCACGGTCAGTTTGCATACGTATTTCATCAAAAGACGACGGGCAAGTTCTTGTTCCATGGACTTTTGTGAATTTCAATCATGTTTCATACACTGCGAATGAATTACTGAATGATATCCTGTTGGGAAGAGTCAGTTCAGTAGAAGTGAAAACAACCTGCAAAAACTACAAGTTGCATCATGGAATCGCTTCAAGCTCCTTTAATTCTACTGAAGGAATTAAGTTTGATGGAGAGCAAAATCTTGTTGAAAAAGTGGACATTTTTGAGACACGCTTCTTTGGGCTGGTTATTTCCCACAAGGAAGACTGTGAGATATGTTCATCACAAGTGCAAATACAAGCAGCAAAACCAAATGCTTTTGAAATTATGTTGGCAGCAGCAAGAGAACAACAAAGTGAAAATGTACCAAGAAGATATTCAAGTCCAGGCACCAAGAAGGAAGAACTCCATAATAAAGTATTAGATTGGTTCCAAGAAAACTGCTGCGAGTTCCCCAGAAGTGTACCACAAAGTGCAAAATCATTTGTTGCTAAAATTTGCAACATTGCATGGTACCTTGATGGACACCATGGCAAGATCGAAGGGACACTTCCATCCAAATTTCCAAAAAGCTTCAAAAATCTGTCTGGTTTCAACTTACCTGAGCTTTCAAAACACCGCAAACGCTCTATCAGCAACATTTCTGAAAATAAGCTAAAAGCAATGTGTATTGAGTTGAGGGAAGTTATACAGTCATTAACATTTCTAAATAACATTGGATCTCCATGGAATGACATTAAATGCGAAATTATCCAAGCCATCTGCACAGCTGAAGAGTACTGTGTGTTCCTAAGCAACAAGGCCAAGAAGATCAGCCTATCTCAGTTCAGGCCAAAAACCAACCTTGAACTGAAGGCAAATGTCAGTGTTGTACCAGAAAACAAAGGACACCTGAAGGATTATTTATTGGAATTAAATAAGAAAGTGGAAAGTTCTGAGCTATTCACTCCTGTGTCTGTGCGTGAGTGTTTACCTGCTGGTACAAGTCGGCAGTATGCTTACTTGATGATAGAAGAATTGAAGTCAACTGGGCTTAAAACAAAGTCGGTGCTGTATACTTATTATCCTGGTGGGCCAAAGCAGGCATTGCATTTCATATGGAAAATTGAAAATGGCCTACCTGAAAGTGAGCTGTTAAATCGGTGTACTGCACTTATCAAGAAGATAGAGAATGACATGCCAAAGTTTCTATCCAGACTTCGGAAACGTGAATTCAAGCATATGTTTGGATTCTGTGCAAGCCCAGTAGCATTACGTGCTATGTTCCGTAACCTGACAAGTGATTGTTCTGCTACATCAGATATAGACAAAAGGTTTGATTATGCAGTTAGGGCTGAAGATGCAGGAATTATTGTAGATCTGAGAAATGTCAGTCCAGAAAGAAAGAAGGACACATTTGCACAGTTTTTTCAAGAAACCGAGCGGTATTTGTCTGAAGATGTAGGTGTTACTGTTAATGACCGAAGACATGGAGAGCAACTTTATCTTGCAAAGGCCCTGAGTTTTACCGATCTACACAAGCGTGTTGCCGAAAGGCTACCTGAAGGGACACCAACACCTTCAGTAAAGTGGTTACGCTATCAATTTCAACCTCTAAATCCAAATGCAGTGACAGCCAAGTACTTTAAAGGCACTCTAAACATTAAGATGATGGTTCAAAAACGCCAGGTATGATAATACAATTGTTTTATCACAGCTATAGTAAATTATAGAAACCGTGGATTAAGTAGAGTTTACTCTCAAACCTCAAAAACTTCAGAATGTTACACTTGAGTTTACCTTGCCATTTCAGGTACGAGTCAATCATGTGGACTCCCACTATTGTGCAGCAATGTGGCGTTACATGAGAGAGTTTGCAGTGATGCACCGTGATGTGGTGGAACTGGTTTCTATGGACGATAAACACAAGATTAAAGTGGGTGAGCCCAACTATCCTCTAGCTGCTGCCCAAAGAGGTAAACAAGTTTTGGTTGGAGTAAACCAAACAATGGCAGTGGGAGATCACGATTTTAGCAAGAGTACACTCACTCCTTCTGTGAATCTGATTGTAAGTAGTATTTTTATGGAGTAGTATGGGGATGGAGGAAACTAATTGAGCAATTGGTTAAGTTATAAATGCAACCTATATCAGATGCCATGTCTCCATGTTTTTTTAAAGATTGATATTCCTGAAACTATCAATGGCAGTTTTTACAGGGGAAATGTATATGTTGCATTTAAAGATGCCGTGTTTGAACCATCTTCGCCTCTGCGTCATTCATCTGAACTTCTGCAAATTTTACAAGAAAGAGGGGGTGAGCTAAATAATTTTTCTACATGATCATGATTCCTGTGTTTACAGTATGCCTTGCAGCATTGACTGGTACAAAATCATTAGTTACATGTAACTGTTATGTTTTAACAGTTAACTACTGTACCATATTATAATGGTGTTTACTGGCACTTTTGCCAATCAAATTACATGTATAAATATAACCTGTCAGCATGATAATATTAATTTTGTTCATTTTCTAAACTAACATTTTCAGAGTCAAAACCAGTGTTACTTCTTTATACTGATGGTGGCCCTGACCACCGGTCAACCTACATGTCTGTAAAGTTGGCACTAATTGCTTTGTTTAAAGCACTCGATTTGGACATGCTTATAGCCCTCAGAACAGCCCCAAGCAATTCATGGGCAAACCCTGTTGAGCGAGTGATGAGTATTATAAATATTGGCCTGCAAGGTGTTGGTGTTATGCGTGAGAAGATGAGTCCTGAATTTGAAAGGGCTGCAGGTAAAATATGTAATATTAAAAACTGATTGAAATTGCAACAACTGTTTTGGTGAGTGGCTCAGTATCATATAATATATTCACTTGACTTTTCAGCGAAGGCGAATAGTGTCAAGGAAATGCGTAAACAGATTACTGACAACCTAAAGGAGGAATTTCACTTGTCTCTAAGGCAGCCAATTGACCTGTTGAAGGGTCAAATGTTAAGATTAGGACTTAAAGAAAAGCCTTTACAGACATTCGAGCCTTCTACAGAGGATAACATCAATGAACTCTGGCAGCACTGCCTGGCAATTCAGAAGGAATTACAGGTTAAGATGTGTTTGACATTCTTAGTAACCAAATAAATACTGCATTTATTTACATATGATCTTATTTTAATTCAGAGAGGACATACAACTCAAAAAGATGTGAAAGACCTATCTCAGCTCCAGAAATATCTAAAGCATTGTTGCATCCAGAGCCATTATGGTTTTCAAATTAAAAAGTGTGGTAATAATCAGTGCGAGATGTGTGGGTAAGTGTTATGTGGCATGCAGCAAAAATGTGTTCATCTTATGGCATGTTAAATTTTTTAAATATGCAGTTGAAGCTGGTTAATTGTTATGTCATACCCCATATGTGTCAACCAATTGTGTTAATTTTTGCAACTTCCATGTTAGAGCTTTGAAGGATGAAAGAACAAGAAATATCAAGACATTACCATTCCCAGTCTTATCAGAAGACAAAGAGCATTATAAAAAATTTGAACAGGTGTATGGTACTAAAACCACTGAAGTAAGTCTTACCATAATATGTACATGTTCGTGCAAGTCATACCTGGACTACCAGGGTTACAATAGCCTGTTAATTTTTGACAACACACACACACACGGTTCAGATTAAGCCAGTGTCTGATGTCATAACTATTTTACATTCATGCAGGCACGGCCCAGTTTAAAAGTGAGAACCCCAAAGGAAAAAAAGAAGCTTCCATTCTCCCCATCTGTACAGCATGCTAGAAACACTGACACAATGGTGCAATGTGAAGAGTGTGAGAAATGGAGATTAGTTTTTTCAAGAAAAAAGTTAAAAAGGCAGCAAAAAGAAAAGCTTGACCAGCTATTAGATGACATCTCTTACACATGCGGGTTTACGTTTGGTAATGTAATTTTATTTAATTTAACCATATATAAGCCAATATATGTATGTGTGTTAATTTTTTCTTCAATTTAACTGGTCACTAACTATGTGCAGATCATTGTATTAAAAGTGGTGCTTTGTGTTTTTTTCAGATGATGTAATTTTACCATCAGGGCTTGATGTCTATATTAAAGATGTGGACTGTGCTGACCACATTGAACGACTGTATTACAGCTGTGGTTATGAACCAATATGTATTTTTTGTGGAGAGTATGTGGCTACAGGTGAAGAAAATGAGGAGGCATACCCCCAGTGCCAGGAATGTGATCATGAGCCTATGAGCAAGAGAGTATAGCTTTAACTATTGCAACATTTTGTTTTTGTTAATAAAACTTTTATACATGTGATTTGTGGCATGTTGTTCATTGAGTATGGAACTTGGTATTTAGACCATAACCCATATTTTACTAGTAAACCAGTATTCTGCAAAATAATGAATAATGAATAATGAAAAAAATCCTCATCATTTTCAAAATGTCTGTTTACGGTAAACCAACACCTAACTTCCCTCGGCCTAATATACTACACGGTGTTGATGTTTATTCAATTTAATGATACACAGTACAAATTAGTATGATATTATTACATCAACTAAGTGCAGAGTACCCAATTACCCAAAGCTTTAATTTAAACTTACATGTTGGCATATTTCACATGCATTACCCATGCAATGCCTACATCTTAGATTTGCACTTGCACTCTCCTTAAAGCCTCCAACAAGTTGTGCACCCAGGTTGTCTGCAGATATAAATGCAATAGTCCCAGCAAATGACATCGGCTGGCATTTAACCATGAACTGGTAACCACCATCCTACAATATTACACAATTATTTTTAATTTGATGAAATAATGAGCTGATATTAGCCAGAGCATGAACACTAGCTAAACCTTTTGGCTTTGCAGATTAAAATCTTTAAAGAAGAAATAATGTTTTCATAAAAATACCATTGTATATACCTAAACTAAATCATAATATACCTTTTCAAGTTCTGCAAGATCATTCATTATCGGCTCAAACAATGAATCAATTCCATATTGTTTAATAATGGGATATGTTGCAACAGCTAGCAACTGAATGCTATTTAGTGTTGACCGAAATTTTGGTGGGATATTTCCAAGAGTGAGATAAACTGTGCCTGAAAAAAGAAAAAAACAATAAACCATATGTTGCAAAGAACATTTAATTAAATTGAATATACACGATCTATTAAAGCAGTTTTTTTGGTAAAGCCACATTTATTACCTAACTTGTGCTTTCCAGTCTTGCTTCCAAGAGGATTTGTTATTTCCAATTCATCATAGTAAAACATTAGCTGAAGTGCAGTAGGATCTTTTGAAAAGAGTGGATGTGCTTTAAATAATTTGCCATCACAATAATCCTCAATGAAACCATTTTCATTCTTGTGACCTTTCTGTATTTAAAATGGTAAACAAAAGATTATAGTAAGTAATAGCAGGAAATTGTTTGTCTGCAATTTATTGCCTTTTCACCAACATACCTCTAATATTACAAAATCCATATTTAATAGTTGTTGCAGTATCTCCAGCAGAGGAATATACATTATTTCATCATCACGTAGAAATTCTCTGTATCTTGTTCCTGATCTTCTTTGAACTGATCTGTGCCCGACTGTAATACGCTGGGGTTCCTGACAAAGAGAATGAATGAACTATCAATCATATATTAATATACTCAATGGTTAATTACTAATTAGACACATGGTAGTCTGTATATTATTGCCTAACTTACAATTAGACTGAATTCTTTCTTATAAAACGAAGCTTGTTTGTGTTTCGTTGAGATGTGTTCAAATGGATCACACAAAACATTATCAGGTGAAAACAGCTCTTTAAGTCCAGGCACAGCATCGAATAAGATGCCAGCAGACACTCTCGTACGCTATTTTCGACTGTGGTTACAGTGGATTTAATCAATTCCGTTGTGCCCGAAACAATTTCGTCAAGACATCTCTGTGTCAGTAAGTTCTTTTCTTTCACTTGCAATAGAAAGAAGGCATTTTCTCTTCTATTATTATTATTAGACAAATTATTAACTTCACTGTATTCGTCAACAATCATTAGATCGTCGGTTTCTTCTGTTAAAAGTGTTCTAATATGTTCGACTTCAGCAGCATTATTTTCAAAATCTTTGTGTTTCCGATATAAATGGGTTTTGTAAGAGAAGACCTATCAAAGACAAGAGCAAACTCTTATATTAACAAAGTATAAAAGGAGGTATTCAACACCATAGTTTCTCGACATTTCTGCAACTGTTCGTATTTCATACCTTGCTAAAACTTTGATTACAGCCAGATATTTCGCACACTATGTGCAAATTTGGATCACTTCTGTGCACTTTCACCATATGTTGTATCATTAATTTCAATGACGGCGCAAAAAACGTTAAACATGCTTGGCAGCGCAAGTTTGCCATGTTGTAATGGCAAAATATTACTAAATTAAATAATTAAGTAAATCTACATGAGTCGCAGCTCAATTCGCAGTATTGCGACATCGCAAGTGTTTTCATTTAGCGCCCACACAACCACTTTCTATTGGCTAGCGCATTCAAGCGGGAGATTTGACGCGAGAATAATATATTCGACACTCAGCCCGAAGCGTCCAATTTCATATTCTGTGTCTTAAGCAACGAAGTGACTGTGTTATTGTTAAATAAAATACTAAATTGGAAATTTTGAAGCAACATTCTTTGAAATCATTGTAAATATACGATCTTATATATTCAACATGTCTGGCGGGCATCGAATTTTCTCGAAAGAGTCATCTAATAGCGAAGTTATCTCGTGGTTAAGGAGAATGATTTACACGTTTTAGTGTCTGAATTTGAAGGTAAGACCTTAATTTTGCTTTTAATTAACCTCTATTATCTTTATATATCTTTGGTCTTTGCTATTATACTTCACTGAATCATAAGTCTTTTATAACTTAAAGCAAGAAATTATTTTTCATTATTAAACAATGTTCTGGGAACGCACTGTTTAATTTGTGTCAATTTGTAGTCATTACCGATTAAGTTGTTCGTTTATATCGCTTATTAAGAAATTGTTTATGTTACATTGCTTTTATGGCCAAAATCATTTTGATGAATAACAGTAGCGATATATTTAATACATGATTTTCTTGTTTTCGACTACAAATCGTGCCATAAACAAAATGGCTAGAAGTGCAAAATATTTCAAACACGTGTACGTTCGCGTGCCCATAATACCTTTGGGTCTCTGTAACATGCTGAGACAGCTGACGTCAAAAGGCCCCTGACTTTCATGCACATCAAATATAATGAAATTAAAATTCTTTACTTGTTTTTATACTTAGCTAGCGAAATTGACGGAGAAGACCTCTTCGGGTTAGAATTTGCAGAGATTTGTCAGTTAATCCCACGATTTAAAATCAGAAAGAAGTTTCTGGTAGCTTTAAGTAAATCAACAAAAGAGGTATCCCATATTACTTTAATGCTATATATATATTAAATATAAATATACACATAATTCGGAGGAATATTATATACAGGGCATACATATATACCACCATTTTCTTTTAAGGTTTTTGATGCCAGTGGTTTAAAGTCCCCTATATTAGAGGCACCTTCAAGCTCAAATATTAAAAGTGTCAAACCAATTGCAAGGACGGAGAGTTGTGAATCAGAATTACCAATATTCCCAATGAGCCCCAATATTGTTGTTTCTCCTGAAAAAGAGAATGTTTCAGATAATATGATGAATAGTCCTGTTGCAAAGAAATCTTTGGAATTTGAAATAAGGCCAACATGTTCAAAGAAAACTGAGAGAAATTCTAAAGAACCTGTTAGCTTGAGTTTAAATAGCATATCAACCACAGGGAAAAAGGTAAATATTTTGTGTGATAGGATACTATTAACATAATTTGATATTAGTTCAGTTATACCAAATGTCAACATACCAAAAGTCAATCCTCTGATAATTATTCCAGTTTCTCATATGAAATTTATAGGCTGATACAGGCAAAGATTTAAATTGGCTGTCGTTTTGTATACCAACACGGGTAAGACAATATCCGATCTATAATTTGACATTATTTTTATACTTTAATTAAGTATGAGATGAAATTTTTGTTAAGCTTCTCTTATATATATATATATAAGTATATATATATATAAGTATATATATATAAGTATATATATATAAGTATATATATATAAGTATATATATATAAGTATATATATATAAGTATATATATATAAGTATATATATATATATAAGTATATATACAAGTATATATATAAGTATATATATATAAGTATATATATATAAGTATATATATATAAGTATATATATATATATATATATGTATATATATTATATAGTTATATATATATATATATATATATATGTATATATATATATAACATTTAACTGATTTCCTAGAATATATATATATAAATATATATATATATATATATATTAATATATATATAATATATATATATAAATATATATATATATATAAATATATAAGTATATATACAAGTATATATACAAGTATATATACAAGTATATATACAAGTATATATACAAGTATATATATACAAGTATATATATACAAGTATATATATACAAGTATATATATATACAAGTATATATATATACAAGTATATATATATACAAGTATATATATACAAGTATATATATACAAGTATATATATACAAGTATATATATATACAAGTATATATACATATATATATATATACATATATATATATATATATATTATTGTTCATCTACCAAAAATGGTGTATTCATTCTCATATAATCATCCCTCATTAGTGCTTGCAACTGATATTGATACTGATTGTCCATAATGCCGAGTTTTCAAAGTTAATTCAGGATAAGTGGATTGCATTATTGTACCATGTGTGCAATATGCACAAGTGGCTAGAAGGGGAATGTGATCACGAGGAGGATGATCATGATGAAACTCTCCCATGGTTTGACCGTCGTGACAAAGACTAGATTGAGCTGCAAAAAGTAATTCTCAATCCAGAGTTGCTTGCCAGCTTCCAGTATTATACACGATTCAGGTAAATGATAATATTTGTTTAATCGAGTTTTTAGGGATTTGCACTAAAGCCCCATAAAACGGAAGACCGAATGCTTGTTCACACCCTTCTTTTTTTCGGGATGAAATGTTAAAGATAATTGTATTACCCATTCCTGAACTAGCAAAGCAACCATAACCATTTAGCTAAAAAATCTAATTCAATCATACTCTTTGTTCACAGGCACGCCGGTAGCATTGAATGTGCAAACAGCCTTAGCTTGGTATACACACCAAAGGGAGGTTGATATGAATTATTCATAGTTGTTCATGTTGCTGTACATCATTTTTGGCAATCCCAAAACGATATTTTTTCTTTTTTATTTTGCTCTTCTAACAAGAACAGGGCTCCACAACAGCTGATGTCAACTGTAGGAAGTGCAAATGCACTAGCTAACTTTACAAGTATTTGGTTCTAAGAGTCCTTAAATGTTAAGTTTAGATACAATGCATATAAAGCCCGAAAACAGTTGGCAGCAATTGACTGGAATTACCACATTAATCTTCCCTAAGCAAAGACCAAATCTGGACAAGATGTCAGGACAAAAAAGTATAACCCAAGAACGAGGCAAATTTCTTTGCATGATAGTAACCCAGTTCTTATCTCCCCAACCATAGCTCATGTCCCTCCTTCTGCAACAAAGGATATTGTTCAAAGAAAGAGCCGATTCACAAGAGATGAATCGTCAGAATGAAACTAAACAACAAAACTATTGGCTAGTGTGAAGCTCTTTTATTACCCAAATGTTTGTGCTATAATTACATTCACAGTCAAAACACAAATACCCATAATTTTGTCATTGCTACAATTATATATGTACTATAAAAACAGAAGTGTGCACAAAAAAAACAGATATCTATTAATACAGATTGCTATAGGTCTAACTGGTGCTGTGTGTGATTATCAAGTAATAATTTAGAACATAAGAAATTAATGATCCCTATATCCCATGTAAACACCAGTAACTGAAGGAAACCGTTCTCTAATTTTTAAAACTACACAAGATGGACAAACTCGTCTGTTTCCTTTGCCTAGATAGCCATGGCGTGCTAATATAAATTGTCTGTAATCAGCTTTGCGAAATGCTCTTGTGCTGTTGTCTTCTCTATCATTACGGATGTCACTCCTATTGCGGATACAAAGCTCTAGCACATCTGGATCAAGGCATAATTTTGCAAAACGTGAAGTTAGGGTTATGCATTTCTTTTGTTTGCAGCATCTGTTTTCAATCTCCTGTGGCATTGGTCTACATTTACCACATGTGCATGTGCACCAATCTGGCACAGATTCTAGTGTGGGATGTGGGTCATCTGACTGAGAGTGGAAAGGGTTCTGACTTTGAGAAGGGTTTGTACCAGAGCTCAATGTGTCAACATTGGGTTCATAAAATGCACCTAACATTTCTGCATCTTGATCATCTTCATCCAGGTCATCTTCCATTATTAAAAGTGTGTCAATCTAGTCCATACTACCAGTACCTCTTCGCAGACTGCGAATAGCTAGCTGTCTCACCATATTCTCATCTAGTGTAGATATGAAGTTCTAAAATAAAATACAATAGAACATCATTAGTTTATTAGTTATCAATGACAATGCACAAAACTGACACACATGCTAACATATGTGCAATATGAAATCATCAATTGTTCTTTTTATATGCAACATTCTGCCAAACACGCTACATCTCTACCTTTGCATGGACAACCTCGGGTTCCATTTGGTTTCCTTTTGACGCTGCGAGAACTTTTGCAATCACAACGATTTTCCTATGTGAACCGATAGAACACTGTTCAGTTCAGTTCAATAATTATGTATGTTTTTATTACCTCAAAATTCACTATACAATCTTGTATGCAGCTTCGAAACAAATCAAACAATGGCGGATTATATCGTACGAACAATTTCCAACAGTCTCTGAACCAATTTTGTTATGCGCAGCAGGGATGCGCACAATATGACACTGCTCCTTTAATGAACTTGACTCTTATAGGTTCAGCTGCAATAAAAAAGTTAGAGGAAATGCTAACAAAACGGCAACTCATCAAAGCAATTCGAAAGTTGTCCCAGTACCACCAGACTTCTGGGTTGGAGGCAAAACATGCTTTGGACAATACCTTTGCATCAAAGAACACCTATCATTCATATCATTCATTAAGTGCAAGGTAGGTTTTCAGCATTGATTGGTACCTGATTATATTAATAAGGTTAATATCTTAAAGTTTAGGACCTTTTAATAATATCTTAACAAGTTGTACTCCTCAAACTTGCT